TACAATAATAATAATAATAATAATAATAATAATCAAAAATAAATGTTAATAGAAATAAATCAATTAACCAATTAATTATTTCTCTCGTCCAAAAATAAAATTATTAATAAATAAGTATCGTAGAGAAATTGGACATTTAAAAAGAACTAAAACTTAATTCTTCAAAACTAAACAAAGTTTTAGTTTCATTTTAATGTCCAATTTTCTTACGATACTTATTTATTAAATAAATTCACACGTTTTATTTTCATTCGCATTCGTTACAATCTCTCGTAATTTTCAATTAATTTCATTATCAATATCGCATATAATTTTTAACTTTTTGTTATATAACTTGATGATTCATTATCTATTTCCTAGATATTATATAACTCATAAAAAACAATAAAAATACAAATATAAAGAAATATAAATATAAACGAACATAAGAGAGAGAGAGAGAGAGAAAGAGAGAAAACGTTTTACTACGAACGTGTTCCCGTAGGAATGATTTGTCATTCGGATGACAGGTAATTTCAGGGTGGAAAGTGTAATTGAAGAGAAAGAGACAGAGTAACGAGAACGAGAATGAGAACGAGAATGAGAATGAGAATGAGAGAATAAGAGAACGAGAGGGGAAGTGAGAGAAGAAGAAGAGGAGGAGGGAGGAAAGGGGAGGAGGAAGGAGAAGTGAAAGAAGAAAGGGTGCGGCAGTGAACGAGTTGACGAACACAATGCTATAGATCTTTGCTATATAACGGAGAATTAAACGGCATTAAGATGAACGCGACAAGGATGTCATCGTCATCCGTTAAGATGATGTACGATAATAACTCCAAGATAATGATGTTTCTAAAGGAATACCAGTTACATACAGTTCTATTCTTCGTAGAAAATATAACTAATTGTAATTAAAGTATATTATAAAAAGAAACGATTTGAAGAATGATTAGTTGAATCATTAAATTTATAAAATATATATTTTACGATATGATATAATTTATATGAGAAAAATAATAAAATCGAGTATTTAACAAATAAATCTCATATATATTATAAAAGAAACTTCTTTGAAGAACGATTACTTATTAGATAACTAATTTATAAAATATAATTTATGTGAGAAAAATGATAAAATCGAGTATTTAACAAATAAATCTCATATATATTATAAAAGAAACTTCTTTGAAGAACGATTATTTATTAGATAAC